ATATATATATATATATATATATATCACTCAGTACTCGCCTTCTCCTTTAAAAAAATATATATAGTGATCCGCAAAAGCATCAACTGTCGGTCTCTCCGACAGTATTACTCCGCATCCCGAAGCACGTAATTTTTCAAGTATCATTTCCTGTCGCTGTTTTCCCAGATCACCCATTTGAAGAACCAAAGGTTGGTCCAGTCGTCGATTTAAATTCTGGTACTGGAAATGATGTATCAAAATCAACCGTCTCCGTTCGTCCTGGAACCAGAAAATCAAAACCCGGAAAGGTAAGCAGCCACCACTGTTTGTCACAATTATAAAATGTTGAATATTGCCAGGAGGGCGACGTACGGTAGATTTAGTCATCATCATAAGTCCCTGGACTCCATAGGAAACCTAAACTCTGGTTGATCAAATTATCTACGGTTTTCAATTATGTGCGACTGCATTGTTTGAAAACCCGATACCTAGAATGCACTCAGTCAGTCAGCTGATGAGAACCGTATTACATACGAGTATGCAATGAAAAAGCCAACGCCAATGGATAGAATTGCGGTCAAATCCCCAACACCCACACATCAACAGGTCCTTTCTACTCATAACTTACGCTGCTCGATCATCGATCCTGGATGAATGTACTCATCAGAAAGTGTACTGCTGAATCCCTTGTCAGTTATCGTGTTGAATACATCTCTTCGTGGTTGTCTATCAGTCTCTAGGTGGAATGCAGAGGCTTGACATCGAACGGTTTTAACGATCACATGCTATTGGTTTCTGTTGAGAATTCAGTTCCTCTCTTTGATTTTGTGGATAGGAGAGTGGCGGTTAGTGCATCAGCCATGGTGACTGAGAAGTTTGCACAGCCGTGAACTAATCGCCCTCAATGGACAGGATTCTATCACAGCTGTCAGAATCAAGAAAATTTTTCTAGATTGAAGTGCTTCAAATACCGACTAAATGTAATGAATTTCCAAGAATGTGTGAAATACCGTTGTTCAAATACTTGCTCATATATATATATATACGATAAATGTTGATATCCAAAGATCTTTGACTGATATTAGACCTCCATCTGTTGCTTGATTCCCTATCTGATTTAAACTCTAATACCATATTACTACCAGTATGAATAAGTTAGTAGTGGAAGAAAACGGTCTAATCAAATTTCCAATGATGATATTAATTATCATAGTAGCCCTATTCCTTTGGGAACTGAGCAGCAAGCCCTTGGTAATAAAAAAAATGCATTTCAATTATTTGAGCAATAGACGAGCATCATAATCTTTGCTATTTTTAACAGTTTGAGCACTGTCGTATCTCGAATGCATTTCATTTAGTCTTCTGTGTTGAAGAATGCGTCCTTGTTTTTTACCAAATGAATTCAAAGTATGTCTCTGTGATAACTTTTTGTTTCCTTGAATAATCACACGTGTCAACGATCTATGTTCTATAGGTTAGTGCGAAGAAGGGTGGTCTTGGAGCTGCAAAAGTAAAAGCAGACTTCACTGCTATTGAATCCGCCGCTGAGAATGCTGACCTACAACGGGAGCGCCAGGCCATGATGGCCAAGCAGTTAGAAAAAGAAGAAATGGAAAAAGAAGCCGAACGCATGTGAGTCTGTCCAATTTATCATCTCGGCTTAAGAATGTATAGTTTCCTATTTTTGCCTAAGGGATACAACCATTCGATTATATTCGCACCCTTTTTCTGTGAATGCTGATATCTGTCAGGGCACGACAAACCATCAGAAGGCTTCAATAAAGATGGAGGTTATAATCATTTCATTTCTTTTTAACCAATAGAAACGTACAATCAACTTTCAGGGAGGGGAAGGGATTCTGCTGATCAGGCCCTATCTGAGACCACAATGTGAAATCACAAGTAGGGAAATCCACACAAATTGGTCCAAGACGTTTATTGTCTGTTTGTTCGGTTACTAAGCTGTAAAAGCAAGTAGAAATTATTGATTATGTTGAGTTGAAGAGTGAAAGTGGTTATCGTTTTTGATGCTCACAGCGACTGTGCTCTTTTTCTCTATGTCGAACAGCTCGAGTCAGTTCATTTTAGCTCATTTTCTATCTACTTCTTGTTCTTTGTTTATCTTTCAGTGCCTCGCTCCGTTTAGCATACAAGGATGTTGCGGAAGAACGTGAAAAGAAGGAGCAGGCCCTCAAAGCTGTGGATCCAAAGCGTGCGGAACAGGTGGAACGGTTAGGTATGGGCACAGGAACCCGGTAAGTTGTTGGATGACTAAATTCAGCAAAAAAAGTTAAACCATTACTGTGCCAGTTCGATGCTCTGATGCACAAGTCTGTTCACCCAGGTTGAGCTTTCTACAATTAGTGATACCTGATAGTTTAGACCGCATGACAGGTCTCGCGATTGTTTCCGTTCACCAGGTTTACAATTTTACCTAAACTCTCGATCTTTATTGCTCCCCGAACTTTAATTTGCACGTCAGCTTTCAGAGGAGCCCTTCTAGAGCCATCTACTAGCAAATCGTTGCGGTTATTCAACATCGATTTCTTCGTTAGCAATTGTATTAGATGTCTATATCGCTTGGTGATTCGAATTTCGATGCCAGTCGCCAGACGGATGCTTTAACTTTGTAAAGGACATGATCCACTCGTGCCAATACCATAATCTTTTTCTTTCTTTTCAAAATTTTTAGCGGCATATCGCATTCGGCGTTTTCCGATGTACGGAAAATTGAACAAGAAGGAACCAACACAGCCAACAGTACAACACGATCATCTGCCTTGGTGTCCTCGAAATTGGATCCATTCTTTGATTCGTCCCCTGGACTCGGAACAAATGGGCGCATCGGGAGTACTCGACGACTTGATTCAGACGATCCGTTTTGTACGTTTCTACCGCATTCTTATTTTTTAGCGCTCCTTATTTTCCCTTTCCTTTCCATCACTTGTAGTTTTTCTCAGATCATAAGAATTTTCGAGTGTTTACTATATCGTTGAAATTCCCTTATTGCAGTTATTCGAAAAGTAGTTTCAGTTTCAGTCTATACAATCATTAACCATTCATTTTCATGCCCCGGTTTTGGTTGCTGCCCTTTGGATGAACATTAAGAGAAAGACAAGAAAGGTTGAAAGTAGGATCAAAGAGAAAATTTAGTTTCAGTGGGCCAAGAGAGAAATTGAGATGCACGAACGTCACTGTTTACGACACAGTCATATCACTCAGTGTTTCTAACCATCGGTTACGATCATCCCGAGGTCTTAAAGCATTGTTTCCAAAATCGGGTTTACAGTAATATGCATAGTGATACTAACATGTTCATATGACAATACCCACTTCAGACGCAACCAGGCTTTTACACCAGTCTGCGTCATATCTGACATGGTTGCTTAGGTCTCAATTACAACACCAGCAAGTCGCGTCATACACAAAGCTTTTATCGGTGTTGATGCTGATGATAACTGGGCCAAAAGCAGTTCGTCGCTCAGTTTAATGTGAAGCGCCAAACCTGGTCTTTGCACATGTTATCTGACACCGACCGATTTGAGGCATACAGAGCCGACTTTCAGAGTTCCTAAGTTGGTGTGAATCTCGGCAGCAGTATGAGTAAATTCAGAGTAAGCAAAGGTTTAATTAAATAACAGATTCCATCGACCTTCCTCTTCTGGGATTTGAGCGTGGGTTTACGTATAACAGAGTGAACCAATTATGTGCTTCCTTCGAAGCCTTAGAGCATCAATACACTTTGTTGTCATCATTATCACCTCCGTACTATCATAACTGCTTTGAGCTTTACAAAATTAATTTTGCCTGTATTTTTCTTATCACTGACTTGTAGGCAGCCTGGCTGCCATCATCCTTTCAGTAATATTCTTCGGGCAGCAGTTAGCAGTATTTTCAAGAATCTGAGTTAATATACGATCGGATTCATCCTCGAACCACTAGAAGAACATTATTAAAGATTCCCGAGTCCCAACTGGTCCATTATTTTAATAGGAATCCCATTTAATGACTAACCCTATCGGCTTGTTTCTCACTGGAGCTTTTAGTGTATTCATCGTACTGATTGGTTTTCACATTTATTTTGAGTACAGGTTTTAAGGTCATAAGCTGCGTTTAATATCAGTCTTCTCTCCGAGCGCGCAATGTTTGGTATATGCCATTGATCGGGAAGTAGAGGCATTTTATTTTGTAGTTCTTTATTTTTTCGTACTGTGCGTGTTGTGAGTTTTCCGGACGGTTAAAGTTGGTCCACTTGGAATCGTGATATAGATCTGATTTTCACCAAGTCTTCCACTCACTATAACGATTGATCGAATCAGTGTTCGTTAATTGCAGCCCGAGGAGGGAGCGGATGGATAGACGAAACTCCCAAAGGTGATGGCTGGACGCGCGAAGTGGATCCGTTTGATTCGTACAGTACCCGGAGTAACGTTACCACCACTGGCACTAGCAACAAAACACGTGAACCGACCGTGACTTCCTCTGATTGGGGTCGCTCCAGTCCACGGGATTCTCGCAAACAGAAAACACTCTCCTCAGAACCGATTTCTAGTACACAATCAGAGGAGTTACGAACAAAGTTCGCCAACGTCTCCTCTATCTCATCAGATGCCTTTTTCGGCCGCGAGGAGGTACAGTTTCCCACTCCGCGTTTTTCGATTATTTTACCTTTACGTGCACCGCTTTATGCTGGGGTGTGAAGTAGTTTTTGAGTTGATCGCGGTGCAGTGCACTTTTACAGCAGCTCTGTATCTTTCCAAATGGTTTTGTTTCGGAAATTGTTGGAAATTCAGTGTGATAGTAACTTCATGTTTGAATTGCACGTATCTCATTGTACCCTTCGTTTACGTTCTCTTTCACTTTCCTTGCACAACGAAGTGCATGTGTCATTTACACCCGAGTATCTAATTGAGCTAAAACACACTAGTGTTCTGCTTTGTGCAGTTTGCAAGACTCCAACTTCGAGAGTTGTCTAATAAAAATGTCAACATGTTCACTGGCTACTCTTAACTAGATACTTCCTGCGCTCATCATCCACATTCACTCCATGTGGTTCTTACGTTTACCCTGTATGTTCACTCCTCTGGCATCTGATAGCGAGCAAGTTTAGTAAAGTACCGTTTTTCATGAGTATCTTATGTTGAGTAGAATTCATAACTATCGATCTACAATAATAGTCTGTTCAGTTCCGCTTCTCGTGTATATGTTTTCATCGACTTTCGCATCCGTCCGGTCACGTTTTTTGTCATACATGGGCACCCTGTCAACCAAGTAATATTTACAGCAAAGAACTAAATTTCTTGGGAAAATTTTTCTCTTTGAACCGAGGGCCAGCATAATGTAACTTGTTTTTCCTTATTCCGTACTGTTGTTTGTGTTTCGCACCCTGATTCTCGTTGTAGGTTGAGGACGCCGGGTTTTCACGGTTCCACGGAAGTGAGTCCATATCCAGCGATGACTATTTCGGTCGTGCCAAACCACAGCCACCTTCCCAGCTGTCAAACGAACTGCAGCAAATCAAGGATGGAGTACGTCAAGGTGTGACCAAGGTGGCTACTCGCTTGTCACATTTTGCCAGTGACATGGTCAGCACGCTTCAGGTGTGTGCTTCGCCTTGAATTTAGCGAGTGTGAAGATGTTGCATTCGGTTTTGAATTTCCATCTTGCTGTTTATATTACCTGGTTAGTCTGTGCATATAGATGGTGATATCAGGAAAGGGGTAACTGAGAATCGTGCATAGGTTACTTCAGTGGTTAGTGGCCCTTTTCAATGATACACTTTAGTCTTGGTCTCAGAAATTCACTGATATTTCCCTCCAAACAGACCCAGTTCTAGGACAACTAGTAGGTAACGAAGGGAAATTGGAGGTTTCGATGGAGCAAATTAAAGAACTCGAGCATTCGTGGTGACGCCATGTTTGTTGTTGTTTCCTATAGCCTCATGTTTAATAATCTGGACTGTCTTTAATCGCGTTCACTTTTAGGTTCTTTTTTAATTTCAAATCAGCGGTTTAATCTGTGTTAACCTTGCGATTTGTTTAATTTCTTCACAGGATCGACTTGGTTGAAGTTTGTGCCTGCTTATCATCAACGGTTGCCCCACCACTTGTGCTTTCCATACGAACTCCGCATGAACAGAAAGTTGACGCTCTGTCACAGTTCGGTGAATTCGGTTCACCAGAGACCTCATATTTGTCCACTTCCTCGATCCCATGGTTTTCACCATTTTTGGATCGTGTGTGGCTGTGTTCTTTCGGTTCTCTCCGACTCCCTCATGATTTATTTCTCACTTCTATTCTGTTCCCTTTCGTGTACTAAAGCTGGTACACTTCAGTACTGTTACCTGGTGGTGATCATGCCTTAATAATCACCATCTCCGGTTTGGCGGACTTTGATCGGTTTTCTTCATTCTGCTTTTTCTTATATATACAGTTCTGTGCTCTGTTATACGTGGGGGTTTGTATCGATCTTCGTTTCTTCCTGGTCAATAATATTCAACTAACAGCACAAGTATAGATACACTCCTCTTGCACTGATGGTCATCTGACCATTTGGTTCTGTATTTGACAGCTTTCCATGCACATAAATGTGTTCCTTGTCGGTTTAGACCGTACACTGTCTGCTGTAATGTCATCACACTAATAGGAATCCAGGTAGATAGTTATATTTTCAAACACTGTGCCAAACGAGTCAGGGAACGATAATCTTTCTAAAAATAAAAAGTTCCATGATTTGCTCTTGGGCGAGATACTGCCAGGTTGTCATCCAAGCCAAAGTAATCGAATTTCGTGATCATGAAACGCAGACCTCTGGTGAGTACACTTGAGGGATCCAACGGGCGTTCCTTAAAATTGGTTACTCATACATTTCCGAACAATTCAAGTTCTAAAACTAGGCAAAACGGATGCAGAAAAATACAAATTTTGATATAATTCCCAACTTTTACCAAATTAATCGTACGGTATAGTTTTTATCCTTGACCAGCAAACGCTGATCACTGCCAAACTCATAATGCGTACGCTGCTCGTGCCTGGGAAATGCGGGTGGTTATCCCCTTCGCTACGCTACTGTCATTAGTCATACAATTACCCAAGTAAGAAAAGCAATCTACCATAACTTTTTCCTGGCCATTCAGTTTCACCATCAGTCATCAGGAGCGATTCACTTTGTTTTTAGGCAACCCCTTACTATACTGGTGCTGCTTTAGCTTCACTTTGCTCCTGTCCAACATCCATTAAACAACTAGTTATCCCTGCTTGCTCGCATTCTTTTCAACTGCATTTCTCTAGGCGTCGGTTTCTAGTTTGCATTATGTTTCCCCGCGATTTGGGAATAAGAACTCAGGTTGCCATAAATCAGTAAACCTAGACTTCGAGAAGAATGTAAGCTTTCTCTAAGATTGGAGATAGAAGAAAAGAAAGATAGTCTGAGATGAGATCCACGTTCGTGTGATCGGTGTGCATTATGCATTCGAATTTGGTCGCGGTAGAAAGGTTGTTCCTGGCACAACCAGGAGTCAAACAAGCCTGGTCTGTTGGAATTGGTGTGTTCCGTCATGTACTGGTATCCGATCCGTCGTGTACGTAATCTGCGGTGAGCTGGCGCAACTCCGTCGCCAGATCGCTTCGACCGATAGCCATCAGTCCTTGATGGAGAAGGTTTACCTGTTATCGAAGAAAGACCGATTTGACTCTTTCGTATTGCAATAGAGGGGGGGGGGGTCAAGCGAATAAAAACCACGGCTTGTATGTAATGGAATATTTGTGGTGTCTTTAGGGTATTGGATAGAAATTAAGTTAGTACTATGTAGCGCAATATCTTAAGCAAGCCGTTCGAATCGGAACGCCATACGGGAAAAATCCTAATTGGTTATTGTAAACGCACCCAACCCTTGTGGACAAGTTCATTGATCTGGCTTCGTTTTATGTTGCAACACAACCAGTTTTAATTCTTCCTGTGTGGACTCTGGTATGCCTTCTTTCTAAGAAAATGGATATTGCCATTGGTTATTGGAGAATCCTAGGATCGTTTTTTTCAGGCTCATATACCTACGATGAATTGTGTCATCTACCGTAGGATTTTCCCGCGTATTTGATACTCATCTGGAGCTGTTCAAGGTGGTTTATGTAGCATGAATTGTGATGCGTGACTTGCGCTATTGGTCTTCAGGATTCAGTGAATATATAGTTACCAGTTAAACGCATTTTTTGGACGATTTCAAAATTTGGTTTCTATCTCGTGACGGTCTGTTCGCGTGTTACCATCAGTTTCGTGTTCGAAAACTATTCTACTACTATTCGCAAGTGATAACAGTTTGTCGATTGATAAACGGCGCTGTTTCGTTTGATCGCTTTGTAATTTATTGATTACTGCAATAGATTGTCCGTAATCCCGGTTTTCTCTCGGTCCGTGCTTCTTCTAACATTGAGTTCAATGATCGGCATAATATACAACTAATGGTGCCTCTTAAGTCTAGACTTACGGATTAGCTAATCATTTTTGGTATGAACCCCTAAACTCTCATTTTTCGGGAACTTCCGATTTGGGGAATGAATTAAGTTTATAGGAATTTTCTCCTCTATGCCCGCTTTGGATTCTCAAATTATGCAGTTCGGTGAAACAGCGAATCATCGATTTTAGCTGTGCTCTAATGCTGTCAAAACAAGACCCATGTTTTCATGAGTGAAGGGAATCACTTGCACCTTGAAATTCAAACTACCTCTATCTGAATCGATGATCATGACTACTGAGTAATCAAATCTGTATTTTGGTTCGGCCCATCGGTCACCAGTTGTTAATAATGAATATGAATCTAATCGTTCGAGAAAAGGAGAATGAAAATTAATCACACGAGATCCATGGATGGAACGGATCTCGCTGGAAAACTTGAGCGCCGTGCTCATGATTATTGAGGAAATTGTTGTCACCAACGCCTTTGTGTTTTGGTTTTTATTCGTCGTGGCTAAGACAAGCCAATTTCCTCGAGAATAAAAATCGTTGCAATAAACAAACGATTAAATGTTTTACGTCTGCTCATCTGAGTTGACTGCGGAACCGTCGCACGGAAGGCGTGTTAGCACCGTTCAAGCTATACATCGTCAAGATCTGCTCGTTCAGGTGGTGCGAGCATTCACCTGGTACCGTATATATTGTTAGCTTTATGGAATCTGACACACGGTTTGAAACAAACACCACGCTCGCGGGAATAATGATCTCTGCAGTCTTCTTTCCATGGAGAACAGGTAATCTGTCTAATCCAGCCTCCTGGTTTTCTCATTGTTCAAACCTTTCCGATAAAACTCTGTTAGTCTCATTACTGATGCCAACCCAGGAAAGTGAATGAGTACAGAACCGCATGTGTTCACAGCACACATCTATCACTCAATGTCTCGAACCCCCAATTAAACTAATCCCGAGGTATATTATACATATACTGGTCTAATCGAAACCAAAGCAACGGGTCCCTGTGAAACACTTGTGCATTCGTATGGGCAACAGCATTTATACTGGAGTAAATTTTTTCCAAATTATAATAAATAAGCCTTGGTCTTCATAGCATTGCTTCTCCTGATTCGTTTTTACTCAACAGATGGAATGCGTCAGAATGTAGCGGATACTCCCATTTCTTCAATAGTCGTTGACCTAGACCACGATTAGTTAAGAGGTAACTAAAGAGAATGGAACAGTTCTAATTTACGACAAATTAACATTGATAATAATTAAGATATAAAGTTTGTGTACACTAAAAGTCGATTGGTCTGCCCTTGTTCCTTGGGGCTTTGTCGATTCTCTTCGGCATGAAACCCACCAACTTTGTTATGAAGTCATTTTCTATTTTGTGCTCCGTTACGTAGCGCACTTTTGTCTCCAATGTCCAATGTGCAGGTAGCACATTGACCTCTCTCTTCAAAACAGAAAACATATTTTCGATCACATTAATATCCGGGCTATTAGGGGGAAGTTGCATGAACTGGACCCTAGAGTCACGTATCTTTTCTGAGGTCTAATAGCAAATAATAAGTGAACCAGACTCCCTAACTAAATGATATTACAACCCTCTCGTGAAATATGACAGCGTTATTCTGGAAAACGATAAATTTTCCGGACCGTTGTTTTTCGTGAAATTCTGGAAACATTTTTGTCATTACTGATACAAATTTCCCACTATTCATGGTGCCTTTGATATCCACCGACAACGTTGACCATGTTTTATCCCTACCCAGATGAGTAATCTCGACGGATGAGAAACTCTTTCATTTGGTGGAAATTTTGGGAAATTCTCACCACAAATGACTTTTTTGTGAGCCTTCCAAGGCTCGTCGGCGAAATAAATCGATCGCCAAAATGACACACATCGAGATTTGAATTCTCGAGCAAAGTCAACACGCGCCAGCCTTTGCTGCGCGTTCAGCGTTGGTTTGATGTCAGCGGAAACCTAACGCATCTTAAATTTTTTCATTCTCCTTTGCAGAAGGGAGTATGAATGGCGAGGAGGATCTTCCCATTGAATAGACGGCAACGATTTTCTGCAATGTTATTTTAGAGTAATACGAATTAGGTCGTCCTGTTTAGATGTACTCGGTTTACGGCCTCCACAAACCGTTCTGGTTGTTGTTTTCCCATGGATTATCCTGTAAATTGTGCTTTTGTTAACGTTTAAGCATTGGGCAAGATGTGATATGGAAAATCCCAGTTTATGTGCCCGTGCAATTCTCTTTCTGTTCTCCTCATCGATATAGTGAGAGCTTTCGGTTTTGAGCGCTGCTCACTTCATTACGGTGACAACAATGTTCAGTTCAGTTCAGTTCTTACAACCATTAACCATGCACTTTCGTGCGCCGGTTTTGGTTGCCCATTTGGATAAAACGGGCAACCAAAAGATAACAACACGAACGTTTAAAGCTGTGCACAAAAATGACCTTGACTTCAAGGTTGACTTGGATTAAAGTGGTATTTCTCGAATTCAGTGAGTTAGATATCAAACATAGATTATTATTATTATAAAACCTTATTTAATGTAATTTCCTCGGTTTGTGAAAGAATTTCATTTAGTTATTCATTAGGGTTGCTATAATGGATTATATGTCGGATAAAAAATATCTCATAACAAATAACAGAGATGGCAAGGGTTTATAGAAGTAATTTGGGATAGTTCTTAAGTCATTCCTATTAGAACATATTACGTTTTCACACTTGATAAAGTTGGAGATTTTCATGTCGACCTTATTTAATCTTGGCAGCCAAGGTCAGGCACGTTTAATTGACACTCAGTCAGACTAGAAACTAGGTAGATCGAAGAAGACAAGATATAAATTATTGTCAAAGCCTAAAGTATTATTATAGGTGATAAATATAATGAAACTCAATTTAATCACAAAGAAAATATTTTAGTGTACCACAATCGGCCAGTACCGTATATTTCACGCATCTGACGCCAAACTGTGTCAAACAAATCATGCACAGTAATCTTTATAACAAAGAAAAGTGTTCTATCATTTGTATATGGGCTGAATACTGTCAAGTTACCCCGGCCAAGGCAGATGAATTTTCTTGAGGAATTTACAACGGGAGCCTTTGGTTGGCCAAAGCCTTACCCGCAAGGCAGCGGGGCGGTGTCTGAAAATCGCGATCCGTTGGGGGCCGGTGTCCAGTTTATCGGATCATACGCCCTTTGGTCTGGGTCAAACTTCCCGTGGTATACGTTATAACTAATACCTGATTCACGCTTCTGAATGTATTCATATAGAGCTTGTTTGTGCTACCTCGATTTCTGTCTGTGGCTGTGAAACCTGATCACGATATAAGCTCTTGTGTTGCCTTTTCGGTAACGATTCTTCGAAATCCTAACTACGTATTTCATGCTGAATTAGTGGTTTCTTCAAATTCTATCACATTTTCTGAAGTCCGATTCGTTTCATCTTGAACAAGCGTATATAGAAGTTCCCCTATTCTCTATTCCGCACAACAGGAGGAGAGGGTAACAGCTTGTAATGTGACTGATGGTAGGCTGGGATGTAGACAATACCATACATTTGCTGGACATCACTTTTTCTCCACAATCCAAATGTGAAAAACCGAATGGACTAATTTAAACATTCATCATCTAAATCTAGTTGTATGTTAACATTTCTATCTCAGTACCAGCGCACTGTGACATTTGTTTTACACGATCGCTAACTATTGCATCCTTCCGCGCTAGGACTCACTTTTCGCTTTCAATCAGTTTGCACGTTATCTCGCTCGCTGGTCTTTGTTGTCTTCGTGCCTTAATGCAAATTTCCGTCAGCACGTACCAGTACTTTTCCTGTGCCACGGCACTCCAATACGCGTCTGCCGCAACCACAATTTTTCTGGTTTAACTAGTAGTAACTTGGTTGTTTGCGAGTCAAGGGACCCGTTTAGAAGCTCGTCACGAATGGCCGCAGCAGACACACTTCAAAGTGAATTTCTTCTTAACCTTGGACAAAAAACTGTTTATCAGAGGTGAAGACCGCAAAGGTTTTCGCGTAGTGTATCTGATATGATGGTTGCCGTGTTAAGTCCCTAACTGAAATGTAAACGGCTGTTTACAAAAGTCCTGCAATACAATTTACACCTGCTCGTGCAATCATAACTGTGATAAGTGCCTATAATTCTGTTCTCAGACAATTTTACCAGCGGCACAGCAGAATTTCAACTGCCCAACAAATCAGTGTGCACTGATGGGTTCCAGAGTTGATTTGTATATACCTGCAGTGGGTTCCATTATTGGCGACCGGTTGGTAGCGCCTCCCACGTGCTTAACGCACGCCACTTCAACGCACCTCAAGCACCTATCTGCACCAACTATAGCATCGTGGGATCAGCCACCACAGATATGATGCTCGGTGACCCAACCGTTGATTTACCGTCACTATCCCTTCAAGCTTATGTGATTGGTTGACCTGAGGCCTCCGAAGGCCAAATGGAAACGTCACTCCGTCATTTGGTTTCATATATTCATCTCGATACAGAACTGCCTTTTGAGGTTAAACAGCACCCTGGTGCTAAATGATAGATCGGATGTGCGGTGAAATATCGACGTGTGATTATGTGATCGATTACGCGTTAGCTCATAATTAGGTGTCTGATTGGTGTAGAATATGTAGATGGAGCTTTCTAATCAAATGAAGATGCGACTAAAGCTACTAAGCAATACGAAATTGCACAGAGGCATTCAAAACCAAGTAACACAAGAGCGGTCGTGGTCACAAATGAACCATTTTTATACCTAAGTTGTAAAAGGGTTAGACCTTTGGATACAATACGGGGTGCGTGTAAAGAGAAAATCAAGAGTTCTGTTTGGTGAACCAACAATGGGTTGCGTATGCATGCCACGTCCGATGTCACTCGGCCAACATTGCTGGACGCGAGTGCATTAAATGTTGCGAGCGCTGAGTAGTCACAGCCTAGCAACAAGTTACGTAACCCACTGTCCTCATCTACGGTGTTTTAACCTTTTTGTGAATACATCTGTCCACACTAACTATAATACGGTTGAAAAGGTGTCATAAGATGTGAGATTCTCCCTAACCCAGCAGCCACAGACCACCAAGTGCAGCCTCAATCAGTCCTTCGAATCGACTGTTGATCAGTGTTTCAAATCATTTCATCTTCACATCCTTACTATGTGCGCGCAGAACGGGTTGGTCCACACCATCCAACCACTGCGGCTGCAGATCAGTCAAACATGAAGTATTGCTACAAAGATACATGAGACTCAATACATCCCTCCCTCCATCATGCTACGCTCAACCAAATGTTGAGAACTTTGATGGAATGAAAAAATTGCTAAACGCGACATTGTGCGGGCTGTTTAGTCCAATAGTTGCATCACTGTTACTCCCTGAAGGCATTTTCCCTTGTCGCTATTGATATACTCACGAATATCTAAATTCATAGAATGCGAAATGAACCAAAGCATGCCGTAGACCAAGTTTCTCGCATTCACTTAAAAATTCAGTCGAGTTTACTACAGTCCTTCTTGAGCAAATTTGGCCAAGTGCAACGAAATTCAGCAATGAGCAAGCAATATTTGATGAAATTTTAAGTATGTAATTTCTCAATGAACTTATTGGCTCATAAAACTTGTTCATGTCCCAGCTTTCTACCGTTTTATTTAATTGTTTTTAATCGTCCGTAGTGATATGGACCGGAAGATTGTGTCGTTCGGTTCTCTCACCAAATGAATTTGCCTTGATGAAGGCTACTTCACCGGAAGGTTGTTGCGTACGAGACACGGGGTTACAATTTCAAATGGAATCTGTGAGCGAACTTAAGGATCATAAGTGCAGTTTCAGTCGCATAATTAAATGTGTAAAACTGACTGCGTTCAGCCTCTTGCATCAACTGAATCCTATTTTCTAACGACAAAAATTTATACAGGCATCGGGGGGGAAGTCACACTGTTTCTTACACGATCAGCCGAGACCGGTAGCGTTTTGATCCATGAAAGGAACATAGCATACGCATAGTCTTCCACAGCCGACGCGGATTTCCCACCAATTGCCTGAATTCGGGCTCGTGGCAGGTCCAGTGCCATTCCAAGTCGACGCCACGTGTCACCTGGGAGTTTCTTTGAAAGTTCTCGCAAATACTTCTGTGTGATCACGTCTGATGATTCACGTGAAGAGAAAACAAAATAGTAATAGCAGTATACAACAATAGAACTTCTGTCAGTAGGCTGTTGACGTTAGTTACGATCGTTTTGGATTAGGTTGAGATTAGCGAACTCAAAATTAAGTTTATACAGATGAAAGCATTACATTTCCCGTTGAAGTTCGTTCTGATTAGCACCCTCTTGTTGAGATACAATAAACAAATCCCATTTTCAAAACGATGAACTGAAACTAAATGAACTACTACTCAACCATCGTGGGAATGACTTGAAACGTGCCAATGAGCCACTCGGTTGATTGAATGAACTGAGGATTCAATGCTACGGTGAATTCTGATGGAAAGTCAGTCAACATCACTAGTGTCGCTCATTCTACACCACCACCGAAAAGTTGCTATGGTTTGTAATGAAAATAATTTTTCGTTCTACAATGATTGGAAGTCGTCCCAAATCGACGGATTATAACCAATGGGACTCACTACTCTTTCAAACAGAGGCTGAATAATAAAATAGGGTGTACAGAGGTTTTTGTCATAGCAGCTCTACAAAACAAAACCACAGGAAACAGCCACATTGCAACCCGTTAACAACAATAACTCACGTACCCTTGGAAACGAATTCAAAGTTGGGCACTGCCATGCGGTCTGATATTGGTATTGTGAGTTTGGGCAATTTCACCACGATTCGTGCCAAATGTGTCCGTTCTATTTTCACCTGGAACCGAGCCTTGCGTGATCGGTTATGGACTGCTTTGAACCGAACTGCACGTCCTGGACTGAATGCCGTTAAAACTTCACGCATGCAATAAATGTCCAGAAACCCACGGTAATTGTCCAGACCAATTTGTGCTGATGGATCAATTGCCTCCACGGTAAGCTGCATTTCGAACGATAGATTGTGTTATTTCCCCACCACGACCTACCGTATCTTACATACATACGGCGGATTTAAAACTAAGGCAGAATAAGTATTTATTGAAGATTCGGATGCAATTACGGGACTAAATTTCGAGTTATGGATACGTAAACACTGTCCGACACCTCGAGTTCTTTCTTATTTATGGAAACTTAATAAGCCGTGGCGAACTTCCAAAAAGACATCTCTGCGTACCGTGCAGTCGGTCTACTAACTGAGGTACGGTGTCACTTATAACTGTTATTTGTTTTAACTCTTTGCAANCAACATTACGATTCTGTTAGCAAAGTTGGGACTGGATCCAGATTCGGTTGTGGGAAACCACGAGAACACGTGCTAGATCCGGGCAGGTTGGGAAATCCACTGAGTATGTATATTCCAACGAACAGGTTTGTGTGTATAGATTTACGTAGTCTTCATCAGTGAACTTCAAGGAGGGGGGAGGGTTAAGGAGATAATTGATCCAAATTTTATCCCATCCAGGAAGCCTAACGCGACCTATGCCGCCGATTTTTACTAGATTATGATTTTCATACCTTCATTCCAGGTCTTCGTTTGACCGCCATTGACCTTTTCCACCCGTTGCTTGCCGCGGGAAACATCGCGCACCGTGACAACCTATTTGGTGTCATACGCAACACATGTTCCGACCGTCGTAGTCTGCAGAAGTCGACCACTTGTTCCAGTGGACGACCGCAATTGAATAAAATTCCACGCCCAACCTCAACATCACTCGTCCGGTTTCCCCACCAGACTCGTGCAATGCGACGTAGACAGCGGTGTTTTAACACCGACAATCCATCTTTATCCTGTCTCCGTAATGACTAAGTCTCTGCACCGTAGAGCAGAACTGGCCAAACTGCTGCATCTGTAATCGCCGCTTTACGGACAGTCATATATCTGAAGTTAGCAAGTGCCAACCGAACTTTCTGTATACGTGCCAACGCTTCATCCGTGATTTGTCCGCCGGATGCGGCACCGCTGCCCAAGTAGCTAAATTAGTTTACTTCCTCTATCACTTCCCCAGTTCGAATGAGGTTGGGGACTGAGTCAAACCTGTCCTGTGGTAAAATTTTACACTTTGAAGGTGCAAAACGCATGCCGAACATGGCTACATTAGCACAGAAACAATTCAGAAAAGCTTGAGACACCAGAATCTTCACTTAGTAGCACAACGTCCTCTGCATTCTCTAGATTAGACCGTCTGTCACTTAAAAGCAAATTTATACCGCACGAGGACGGGGCTATTTCAAAAGTCCAATGTAGAACGAAGTTCAGTAGAGGAGAGAGAGGGTAGTTCTGAGGAACACTACTTTCTGTGAACTCGGGCAACATGTGCCGTAAGCTCAAACTCGGCTTCGGCCATTAGTATAAAGAGAACACAAAATTGATATTCACTTCTTGGGCACACATTTCAGAGAGAGACAGCGCCAGAGTTTAGAGAGGTCAACTGAGTCGAAAGCCGCTTGCAGGTCAAGAAAGACAAAAATTGTGAGTCTGCGGAAGGAGGGTCTGCGTACTAAAATTTAGCAAAGAGTGAAAATACGGTTGACACAACCCTAATCAGGTCTAAAACTGGCCCGGTTCTCACGCGTGCATCGTTCACGTGTGGCAGACAATCGACGAAATATAATACTATCGATAAATTTAGTCGATTTCGCTTAAACTAATTCCCCTGTGGTTTTCACAAGGGGATATGTCACCTTTCCTGTAAGTCGGTGCGATGACCGATTCACACCTTTCAGCTGGAACTTGTTTCCTCTTCCACACCGTACTCAGGAGCTTCGAAAATTCCAAAAACAGGTCTGAACCTCCATCCTTAAAAGCTGATCGGGACAGTCCTTCCGGGTCGGAGAGCTTATACATTTCGAAATGTTTTATTTCCCGGGCAATCTCCATTTCAGATGGAAGACTGATATCAACTAGCCGTATTGGCCTATTTGAAGCGGGGATCTATTGTCCACTGGGGCCAATTGAACTATGGCTTAAAACGTTCTTCCTATTACTCAAGACAACTCCATTGAATATGAATTATTGTGCTGTCGACCTCCTCAATCACCTTACTTGCAACTAATTTCCGTGGGTCTTGATTAACCGGAATTGATTGAGCTTGCAACGAATGAAACCAACCTTCTCTATCTCGGGGCATGTTGCTACTGAAAACCTATCGCGGTCATTTCTCAGGATCTTAATGAGCTGGCTTCTGTTTTGGCTTACATCTGACTGTTACCTTTACCACGTTTGTCTATGGCTTGACTGATAGATTGGCTGATGCTACCTGCTGCTTCACACATGTGGACTTAATCCCTTATAATATCGATCCGCACCAGCCCATCAGATGTTAGTATTGAACTGTTTGCGTTGATTGACTCATTGACTGTTTGACTACTTTGGTTGACCGCATTCTGATGTCAGTGTAACGTTTGTGCCGGTAGTTGGCCTGCCTGCCTACTTATGTGTTTACGCCCCCGCTTTCCCACCGGCATACAGACCATCTATACAGGTACCTACTGCAAACAGATGCATTGCTTGATTCGCTATGTGGTTATTCAACTACTTAAACGAGATACAACAACTTCTGAGGGAGTTGTGTGTAAATTTACACTTAACGTTCGGAGGACTGATTCGGCAAGCGTTTAACAAAGTAGTAGAGGTCAAGGAGTTCTACTTTTTGTGCGCAGATCATGCGCCACAATCCACTTTTGCTTTGATCAACTTTCAATAGCCCCCTGGACCAGTCTCTAGTGTTCATTGAGTCATTTAACGGATAAGTTAACTGAGATACCCAGACAGATCTCCCCTTCGAAAGTCGATTTGCACCTGTTGTGGGTATCCGTTTCCGGTGACGTTGCAGTTGGATGCCAGGCAGAGCTTTAGGTAACCGCAGTCGCCCACTGCACCAAGTGGTTGACTCTCATAGATTACGTTGGTTAGAACATGTGTTACGCATGTCACCAAATAGGCTGTCACGACGAGCGCTGTTTGCCGAGGCAGGTAGTGAGTGGAATGAAACCACGCCGGTTAAACTAAGACCTGGCAGGAGGGTATGAAAACCAAAACCAAGAGACTCGGCCACATAGGTCCCGTTAGGCTCCTTGGACAGGAATATGGGGATGATCGTAACGGGTGATTAAAAACACTGAGTGATTATTACATATTATATTCCACACATTGAGTGATATGGCTGAATGTAATAAACAATGGCGTTCGTGTATCTCAGTTTCTTTGCAACCTTAGTCCATTGAAATTCTCCATTTTCTCTTTGAATCTACTTTCAACCTTCCTGCGTTTCTCCTACTGTTCATTCAAATAGGCAGCCAAAACCGGTGCTCGAAAGGATACCATCATTCATTGTAATACAGTGGATCGAACTTCACAGATTGCTGCCAAACTCATAATTCATACAAGATAAGTGAGAATGTGTAAGGAGGGTATGGACTGGATTTACTTTTAGGAACAGGAGGAGAAATCGAACCTCTATGAGAAACACAGAGTACACAGTCCAACTAATTATACACACTATTTCAAGAATTCTGATCTGATAAAAAGTGACAGCAAGAACTCCATTGCTGTCGGTTCGCAGCCATAAACTTCAGTGTCTCCGACCATGTGGTCTCAGTATGGTCGGGGGTTGGTGTCTAGGGTTGCGGCTGGGAACCCTTCCCTTGCACCTCGCAAAATGCTCCCATACGACCAAGCGTCTCGAATAGCCTCTGCTGAAGAAGCCCTACTCACTGTCTTCTCTTGGCGGTGTTTTCCCACCAAGGTGAGAGGACGAAAAACCGACTTCCGGGGCTGAAACTGGGTTGATGGATCACTGGTAGTTCACCTAGGGGAGTTGGCCAAAAACCCTGATTCCAAACCAACCAGGAGGAGGTGTATGAACCACACACACGATTTCCTGGTTGTGGAAGTGGTCACTGGTTCGATTGGGTATCGAGGTGTATTGGACACCTTGAACGTTTGACCCCGTCCAAAGGGTGTATGATCCGATGAACTGGACACCGGCCCCCAACGGATTGCGGTTTTCACTCACCGCCCAGCTGTCTTGCGGATCAGGCTTTGGCCAACCAAAGGCTCCCGTTGTAAATTCCTCAAGAAAATTCACCTGCCTTTGCCTGGGCAACCTGGTAGTACCCCGCCCGGACGCAAATCATGGAACGTTTTTTTCTTTTTCACAAAGATTTTTGTAGCATGATTTGTTTGGCACACAGTCTGGTTTCAAAGGTGTGAAAATAAGTAAATGATAATGAACCAGCGGTGAGGCCTTGTTCTGTTCCTGTTGACGTTTACTGAGCTGCCGAGACGTATGGTGTACAGTTGGCTACTAAGTAGAATACAGTCAAAATTAAGCGCCGCTACCTGATGTTTAATCCGATACTAACAAAATTGCTAGCGGTAGATACCTACTCGCCGGGCAAAAAACGAATCAAGAGAATGAGCTGGAGTGAAATAAAGGATAACTGAAGTAGGGTCTTACAGACGTGTTTCCGAAAAGCAGCCCCTTATGAACTATCCAGCTTTGGCAGGTGGCAGCTGTCCAATGAAGTGGGAAAATGTCTGCCGCTCTTCCACTCTGTTACTACTTCCACCTAGCGGGTGAGGGTTTTCTACCGGTAAATGAGTCCCTCTGTGCTTATTT